AAAAAACAGTTAACCGAAATTTTTTGAATTTTGATTATTTGGGAGCTATGGACACAGTATACTAACTGTAAATATGGGGGGCAGATGCTCTGTTAATAGAATCATCGTTAAAGTGGTCTGATTAAAAAGAAAAAGGTAACAGCAGCCATAAATACTTCCAAACTTAACTCACATTCTGGCTTAACCACATTTTTATTACTAGAGGAACGTCGTATCTCAAGACCAAAAAGAAAATTAATAAAAAAAAAAAAAAAAACAACCGGTATTCTTAATCTGCCTCAGCAGTCAAGATACAACTCTACTAAAACCGCAACTTGGTGCTTAGTAGGTATAACCCTTCACGAACATTCCCTTCTTAGCTTCATCACTTTCGCCATCGCCAGAGTACTTCCCTACCTGTGCTAAGGAGTTTGCTTTTGCACAAACCAAGAGCGCCTTCTGTGCAGCTTCCACATTCTCGATTGGGCTGCCCTTTCTATGTCTTCAGCATGGTGTTCTGCAGTGCTCACGCGTATGACAAGGAAACATGCCATGGGTTTGGACTTTGATTCATTGCGTTGAGATTCAATGTTGCTTCCACTTCAGATTGTCCTCCGGACAAGAACTAACAGCTAAAAAACACACAATATCACTCGTAAACACAAATCAAATGGAGAAACATTGATTTATTAGATCATAGTTATGTTGAAGCTATGAAATCAATTATTATAAGTTATAGATGGAACCATGCATATTTGTAGTTCTCCACTTCTCTCTTACCAATGTCAAAAACATCATCAAAGAGATTGAAGAACAAATACTAATGAGCATGGTAATAGAATTTCATTCATATCATAATGCCAGGAACAGCAGGAGGCACTCTCCTTTTCAGCATAGTGTTCAGCCCCTGGGGTAACCATGCTAGATAGGTTTAAGCAGAATTCCTTCAAACAAAACATTGTTTTCTGCCAAATAGTAGAAGACCTCGGCCCACACCCGTTCTGCAACCTCAAGAGTCCTCTCAATTGGGTGGCCGGTCTCCATCAAGAAGAATTTCAGGTTCCACTATTGGCACGAGACAATTGTCCTGAAGCATCAACGAATCGAAAAACAATCAAAAGATAGCACAAGGTTTCTTTTCCTTATTCTCCTTAGATATTAGTATATTACTAATGTTTCTAAACAAGGAAGAACTCAACAGACAAGGCTGAAGTCAATCAACAGACTCAAAAGATTTGGTTAAGAGAATAGAGAAAAAGACGTGAAAATACCTGAGAAATAGCAGCATAACGAGCAAGACCCCATGCAGCTTCTTTCACAGCCAAAGCAGAAGGACCACAAGGAATGCTGACAACTGTTCTCCTGAATATTGCCAAATCAACTATTTAATTCTTGTTCACTTGGAGGAACTCAGTGGACCTAAATAGAAACATAAAAGTATACAAGCAAGTGGCCACTTAGCAAAACGGGCCCCTTGCTTGTAGTATTCAGCTGATCTAGAAGCTAAGCCATCTAAACCTTGACACCAAGATTCATTGTTGGATCCTGGAAGTGGGGACAAACCCTATATAGGCAGAGGTCAACCAGTTAAAAGATTGGAAACAAAATCTATCTGAATATAAATGCCTTCAAATTGGGAGTTGGGGCTAGTATTAGAAGGATTTAAAATTAAATCAAGTTGCACATCAAAAAAGTTTCGAAAACACTAGAGAATGGTCCTACCTTATCAACTTTGATCCCAGGCACTATTTTCCCATCCCGCAAGCAGTCAACGAACTTCTTACCATCAGTAGTTGACTGGTAAATTGTCTCTTCGAAAAGGATGGCTCCAGAGATACATTCCCCAAGGCCAGGAGTGGTCATAAAAAGTTGTCTGTTCGTCTCTGTGTTTTCCAGTCCAATCTCTTTCCACAGGTGGAATTTGATTCATCAATGGCAAGGATTCCCCTTCCAGGAGATGCAACAGTTTCCTGTTCCAATAAAGAACAAAAGGCAGTTAGACAAAACTGATATGACACACACACCAAAGTAATTTACAGTACCAATTTCATACACTTCAGTGAAAAGATGCATTACATATCAACTTCATTACTAATTACAATTGAAAACAGAACGCAAATAGTTAAACAGAAGCCAATCTGGAAAACTGATGAAGTAGCAATAATGAAAGAAAGAAAATCAATTAAAAATTCACTCAAAATTTTCAAATATGCAACTACTGCTCAGCAGCTACTAAGCACACTAAACACCTAAAGCATACAAATCTAGATGAATCCATCCTTTTTTCCTTTCAATTAAAAAGAAAGGTATCCTGCTACCCAAACGGGGAAAGGGGTAGCCTTTCTCTACCCAACAAAATAGGGATATCAAATTATTGATAAGCAAGCACTAAAATTAGATTCTACTCAATTCAACTCGAAGCAACAGAACAATTATGATCTAAAAGCAAGAGCTTTGTGATTCAAACATGCCTAACTCATCAAAATTTACTCAATTCTAATATTTGTATTGATTGCCTTGTGATTATGCATTCTAGATTTGTATTGATGAATTGATGAGATAATGTGTAATGCTTGACCTAAAATACTTATGTTGTGGATGAGTTGTGTATTGATTCTCTCTTCATTGAAGGATCCCAATAGGAGAGGAGTATGAGAGAGTGAAAGTAGCACTTTCATGTAGTCTTAGTCATTTCCAATTCCCGTCCTTCGATCCAAGAGGGCAAGGCCCGGGAGGAGAAGGTAGACCACCAAGTGTTTGATAAAATGTCTTAGCCGACTTAGGATTTAAAAGTCCAAGTCCTATGTGACTTAGTAATGGGGTCATGGGGCCATGTTTCTCCCTTGAGTTAGTCATGCATTGCACTACCTCTTGTCTACCTTAGACCATTGAATGCATAAGATCAAGTCATTTCCATCCAATTCCCCATTTCACATATTTGCTTGTTGCCTTTACATACTTGTTTTCTATCGTTGCACACATGCTTCTTCCCTACACCATGCTTGCACCTAGACTACTCTTGTGAATACATTGCATATGATTGTATTGCACTTTGCTTTCTCCAATTTGTCATCCTTGAGATAGGATACTCGGAGATTCCCCATCTCTATTTACACTTTTTCATCCCACTAAACTACATCTTGTCATCTATATTGTACCCCCAAAAAAAAATAAAAAATTCAAATGTATGATCAATGAAAATTTTGTCTAATTTTTTTGTACATTCATTGAAAATTTGTAATTAATTAATATATCAGTGTATTAGTATACACTTGACATTCAAACAAGAGTATGTTGATAAATTCAAGTGTATGCTTAATGAGAGCTCTTTATATGCTATTAAAAACTTTATTGTCTCCAACAATTCTATGTCATTCAAAACAAATACATGTTCAGTTCCATTCTAGGGTATGTTGTCACATTTACTCATTTATAATTATGTATTTGTTAAAATAGATTTGATTGGCTTTATTGTGTCTATACAATCACCCTAACTACATTAGCTAATGGCCGAGAGAAAAGACTCATGAAGATTGTTATTCAAGATCACGAGTGAGTCATGTTTAAATACTTCTTTTGATATTATAGCTCTATTACTTTTCTATCCTATCTTATTACTTTTGAAAACAACTATGCTTTATTGTATTCTACTATACATGGATAAATATTTAAGGTGTACTTTTTGGGACCAATATGTTGATTTATTGCTCCCACTTGTGATCCACCCAAACCCTGAATATGTTATATTGATAATTCAGATGTGTTGTGCAAAGATGTATAATGGTAAATATCTAATTTCATCTTTACTTGTGATGATTTCTTAATATATTACACGATTTTTTTATATTTAAGATTTTAACACAACGTCCTATGACGTTAACCTTTGTTATCTTGATGATTAGACGAGATTTCGGTCACTAATACATTTGGTGCTACATACTAAGCTTGTGATGAATAATAACTGTCAACAAATTCGTGATTTCAAATTGTTGTACGTATTTTTTGTTTTTCAAACATTAACTATTACTAAATTTGAATATTTAATAATATTAATAGTTTTGTAAATAATTTGTAAAATCTTAAATTTTATTATAAGGTTGGATGTAAATACTACACCAAAGGTTTCACTTAGTACATCATCAACAATAGTCTATTGTGGAGGGTAGTTGGTGGCCTGGACTAACATCACAAACATGAATTAAATAAACTAATTATCAATAATTAAGGCCATGCCAACTGATATTTTCCTATTTTCATTTACTGCTATAGAACTATTTTCTCTTTACTTAATTCCAAAAACAAAATTATTACCAATATGCATGCATGCTGCTAATGGCCTTGATGACTAAGGCTGAACTTATCCCCGCAAACATCTCCCACTCTAAAAAATGGGTCCCACTTCCACATCATCCCATTTGCAAATCATCTACTATTCACACTACATCCCTACAAATCCAATCAACCTTCAAAAGTGGACCCCAATTTCACATCACTTTAAAAAATTAATATTTTTTCTTAATAAATATTATTTTGTCTTCAACATTATTTATTTATATCAATATATAAATTATATTTAAATATTAAATATAATAAATTTGAAAATAACTAATTACGTATGTATGTATTAATGGAAAAACTAAATGTATGTATTAATGAATTAATTTACGTATAGTAATGAATGTATGTATATCAATCTTACAAAAAAAAAATGTATGTATATCAACATAAATTTTAGACACGTAATTTTAATGAATTTATTTTAAAAAATAATTTAAGAAATTATTCGTATTATGTATGGTATATAACCGAGTGCATATTATACCACGATTTGAATTGTAAAACTAAACCTCAAATGAACCTTACAAATTCAAAGTAATTGAAATCATAAAATTAACCCAAGTACAAATTACAACTACGACAACACTGAAATGAAACAAATTACAACTACGAAAGTACTCAAAGCATTAAAATTTAAGAGATTACAACTAACGGATTACATTGAAAGCAAATACATTTATTCATTAATTTTCTTCTCCACCAAACCGATTCCTTATCTCCTCAATTAAGTCTTCTCGTAGTTGATGGTTTGTTGGCCTATTGCGAATCATTGCATGATTTTGAATATAATCCTCATTTCGAATGAAGTGGCTAGGACTATTTTTAGGTGTAGATACATTACAATTCACACTTTCATTCGTATAATTAGAATCAATAGCATATGAATCTCGTTCATCCTCTACAATCATATTGTGAATGATTATACATGCTCTCATAATTTGTCCAAGTGTTTCTTTGGAGCCCATGCGTGCCGGGTTAGAAATGATAGCAAATCGTGCTTTGAGCACTCCAAATGCTCTTTCTATATCTTTTCTTGCAGCTTCTTGTTTCTTTGCAAATAATTTATGTTTTGCACTTTGAGATAAGGGGATTGACTTCACAAAGGTTGCCCAACTTGGATATATTCCATCTGCTAAGTAATAACCCAAATTGTAATGGTTACCATTAACAACGAAATTTACCTAAGGTGCTTTACCTTCCAAGACCTTGTGGAAGATGGGAGATCGGTGCAACACATTGATATCATTTAATGTACCTGCAAGACCAAAGAAAGCATGCCATATCCACAAATCTGCAGAAGCAACAACTTCAAGTATAATGGTTGAATAGCCGTGATCTCCTCTAACATATTGTCCATGCCAGGTAGTTGGAAAATTTCTCCATTCCCAGTGCATGCAATCAATACTCCCTAGCATACCTGGGAAGCCCCTTTGTTCTCCAATTTGCATTAGCCTTTGTACGTCTACAACATTTGGCCTTCTCAAGTACTCTTCCCCAAACACATCAGTTATACTTTGAACAAATCTCTTTATACACTTCATTATAGTGATCTCACTCATTCGTATATTCTCATCAATGGAATCTGCAGAACTCCCATACGCTAACATACGCATTGCTGCTGTACATTTCTGTAGTGACGAAAAGCTCCGTCTACCGGTAGAATCTATAGTACTTTGGAAATATTGGTCATAATTTGTAACACCTTCAACTATGCAAAGAAATAAATTTCTTCGCATTCGAAACCTTTGCCGAAATAAATCGTCGGTGTACGTTGGACTATTAGAGAAATAGTCATTATATAAACATTGATCTGCTTCTTCACGATTTCTCTCAATGACCTGTCTTGGCCTTCTTCTACGCCGAGACGATGCAGCCTGATTTTCTATAGCTTATCGTCGTAGGTTTATTAGGTTCGATAGAGTATCATCCATGAACCACTCAATGATATTTTGCTCAGAAAAAGGATTATCTGGGTCTTGGGGTGAAGAAGATGAGTTAGAGAAGGGAGGATTTTCATAATTTTCAGTTGAAAATTCAGAATAAAATAAATTAGAATCACCGATTGAGTTCCACTCATCATCCATAGTATATGAAAGAAAGAGTAATGAGTTTGGGAGGGGAAGAAAGAGTAATGAGATTTAGTAAAATGTGTATCATCCAACGTATAAATAATGGATCATCATTTCTTGAAGTGGTAGAGAATATCATATGAGTTGGAATATAATAATACGTTGAAGGAATTTTGTGTATGGAATCTAATAATTATTAGTTGAAGAAAATTTGTGAAGTTTGGGTATGGAATATAGTAATACGTTGAAGGAAATTTGTGTATGGAGTGTAATAATTAGGTGGAGGAAATTTGTGTATGGAATCTGATAATTAGGTGGAGGAAATTTGTGTATGGAATATCATCTGAGTTTGTAAGAAGTCTGGGTGTGGAATATAATAATACGTTGAAGGAAATTTGTGTATGGAATTAATAATTAGGTGAACGAAATTTGTGTATGGAATATAATAATTAGTTTAGGAAAATTTGTGTATCATCCTACGTATAAATAATGGATCATCATTTTTTGGAGGAAATTTGGGTAGAGAATATCATCATTTCTGTACGAAATTTGTGTACAAATATCATCTGAGTTTGTAAAAAGTTTGGGTATGGAATATAATAATACGTTAAAGGAAATTTATTTAACGAATCTAATAATTAGGTGGAGGAAATTTGTATATGGAATCTAATAATTATGGGGAGGAAATTAGTGTATGGAATCTAATAATAAGTTGAAGAAAAGTTGTGTATCATCCCACGTATAAGTACATGATCATTCTTGCATATTACTTCATCCATCATTTGCCTTCTTCCTTCCTTTGCCTTCTTCCTTTACGAAATATTTCGAAACCTTCAAATGGATCCTCCACGCGATCCATTATTTAACTTCTAGTACTTTCACATAATGACCCTAATGAAGCCAATCAAAACCCACAACCTCCAATCACTCAATTCCCCTTTCTTCCTGGAATGAGCAATGTGAATTATCAGCAATTACCTTTCTTGTTTCAAGGTGTTCCCCCAACCTATCATCCATCATATTCTAGTTTTACTCCAATGTCTACTCCCACTGGGGTTTCTCATCCTACTCATACAACAAATATACCTTTGCGAGAATTTCCTGAGTACTCCACTCATGAAATGTCAACACCTCAAGAAACACGACCACCAGGCATATTGAAAACTCGATGGACAAATAAGGATGACATGATGTTATGCAGCGCATGGCTCAACATTAGTAAAGATGCTGCAGTTGGAAAGGATCAAAGTGGTAATAGCTTTTGGAATCAAGTTGTAGAATTTTATAATCTGTACCGGAGCCAACCTGAGCAAGCCAAAAAGAATAAAATGGGATTGCAGAATCGTTGGGGGAGGCTAAATCATTCAGTTTCAAAATTCGCCGGCTATTATGAATATATTTTGCATCGGAGGGAAAGTGGCTTAAATGAGGCTGATAAAAAAAATAGGGCCATGCAATTATATCACGAGATTGAGAAGGAAAGTTTTATGTTTTTGCATGCTTGGGAAGTGCTAAGGAATGAAGAGAAATGGTGTAACCAAGCTGGGAGTGGCATTGATGTTAACTTAACCAGAGATGAACGTCCAAAGCGAACGAAAAATACGGAGTCAGGTAAATACACATCTTCATCATCAAATTCACAACCAAGTGAGACACCATATGTGGGAGGGTCTAGCTCTCGTCCCATGGGAAGGGACGCTTCTAAGGCGAAAGGAAAAAGAATGCAATCAACAACACAGTCAACGGTATCAAAAAGTTTGGGCGAGCAAGTTGAAACGCAAGTTAGTGTGGAAATGGAAAAAATAAACCTCATGAAACAATATATGAAGCGACAAGAAGAAAAGCTGCAACAACAACAACAAACTGAGAAAAATAAACTTCTCATTCAGTTTATGCAACTAGATACATCAAGTATGAATGAAACGCAAAAACAATTGTACGATAAGCAAATGAAGAAGTTTTTAGATGAGTAAGTATGATGGAATTAATTTGTATGCATTGTATTTCTAAATCAATGTAATGTTTGTTGGGTAATATGGTGGAAAATCCCAAAAATAATAATTCTACAGAAAAATTATAATTATAAGGGAAAAACAGAAAGCTGGGAAGGAAAAGGTAGAGTGTTTGGATATAGGTTTAGCACGAGTTCGAACACAAAGTTCTTTTCCTTAAAACCTTATTTGCTACCTCCCACAAGTACTAGGAGCGTTGTAGCCTAGGTTTCCCAGGATAAAACGTGCTACGATTCTTTGTTTATGCACCTAAACAAAGAACCCGGCAAACAAAGCACAGCAAGAACACTAGTTGGCTAAAGAAGAGAGTAGAAGCAGAAGTTTTGAAGCAAAACTGTACTGGAATTCCTTAGTTTCGTGTACTGTGTAAAATGCTTCTGCCCTACCTCTCTTTATATAGGGCTGTTGAAGGGATAGCATTCAACATGGCCATTAAATTGGTATTAAAACCAATTGTGTAACACCTGTAACAGCCACCCATTAAGTAGGATTAAACTCAGATTTAATATTGGAATTACAACAGTATTAATTCCATAACAGATGAGTTTAAACTGTACAACAGGCTGAACTTTTGGGTTTCAGACCGTTGGGGTGCAGGTTCACACGAGAGTACATCTCTCGTGCGTGCTGTGGTGCAACCCGAGAGTGCACCTCTCGTGATCACTGATGCACGAGAGTTGTGCTCTCGGTGCACCACAACCTCTCGTGCTCTCTATAGCACGAGAGTAGGTGCTCTCGGTTTCGGTCGAACTCGGCCGAACCAAGTGACTATATCAGTTGGAAAATGATACCGAAGTTTGGCATAACTTAGCCCGTAAGGCCAGCCAATTTCCGGACGACATTCGTGCCAGCAGGTGCTGGCGCACGCGAGCTTGAATCAAGCCTTTTCGATCTCTTCTAGTTGGATTTTGATTTGCACCCCTCCCCCCCCCCCCCCCCCCCATGGCAAGAATCCACATCTGCTTGCAAAGAGGGTCTTGGCTGGGGTGTGGTGCATAAAGCACAGAAATGGGCAATTTATATCGTGGACCAGGGTCTACAATGCACTGTGAATCCTGGTTCAATACACATAATTTGATTTCATAATGTGCATAATTTATATTTATAATGTACAGAATTTATGTTTATAATACACATACACATAAACACGATATAATGAAGACACATAAACTCTTAACATAATACAAAGAATTCATATTCATAATGTACAGAATTCATGTTCATAATGCACAGAATTCATGTTCATGTTAATTATATCATGTTTATGTGTATGTGTATTAAAGCTGGCCAAAACCCGGGCCTGGGCTGGGCCAAGGCCTTGGTCAGCGCAGTTCAGGACCGGCCCATAGTATCCAGGGCCGGTCCCATGCCAGGCCGGTTCAGGGTCTGGGCCCCGAGCTTCTTGTGGGCCGATTTCGGGCTAGACCCGTAATTTGTTATATTTTTTAAATATATAATTTTTTTTATAAATTAATATATTTTGCTTAAAATAAGATTTGAACCATTAACCTCATAACAACTAATTTAAATTCTTTCCACTTAAGCTACGTCAACCTCTTGATACATCAATAATAATTAATATATATATATATATACACACACACACACACACACACACACACATTACACACAGTCACACACTTTTCTAAAATTAATATTTTTGTTAAAAATAATATTTTAATTATTAATCTCAAAATCTAAAATTAACATGATTTTCTACTAAATTAAAATGTATAAATGATGTTAAATACATTTAAACTTGTAGTCTTGTAGTATTGAAGTCAAATTATGTGTATTGGATCAGGGTCTACGATGCACTGTGGACCCTGGTCCCCGATATAACGATTCACAGAAATGTGTCCCGGCCTGTTTTTTAAGAATTGAAATAAATATTAAAGATTTGTTATTGTTAAAGATGTTGTATGTTTAGTAACATAAATTTGTGATTATTAGTTACTTCAATATTACATTTTAATTTAAAAGTATTATAATCTTCCTCATAAGTATTACAATTTCTCTCATAGCGATTCACATGACATCATCAAATGATTCAAGTCTTAGATAAGAATCTACAACGCACTGGAACGCCTTTGTTGACGATCCTTTACTCCGACAACGTCTAGGGTTCCCGGCCTAAACAATGTGATATCTCACACTGGATAAATCCTTAACCCTTTCCCCTCTTACTAAGACTACAGAATGTTCTTGTAAATTATGGTCGTGCTGGGTATATAAGTAGTGATTTCAAATTCAGAAGTTAATCGTACTCTAGCAACTTTACGCAAGGCAGAGTATGTTTTTTTTGGGACAATTAATCAATTTATCATGAATTAACATTAACTTTTTCTCATAACTATTAAACCCTTAAATATTACATTTTTATTTAAAAGTATTACATTTTTACTCAAAAGTATTACACTTTCCTTTATAAGTAACAAATAATTCCTGAGTAGGGGGGTTCCTTGTGCGCAGTGAGCACGGTCTAGCCTCTGTGGTTCATGTTCAGTTGAGTTACCATGATTTACATCCTCCCAAATACTTTGTTGGGTCGGGGTGTGGAGAGCCCTTAGGGTTGGGGTTCAGCCTTTTGGAAGAATAATTCCTGAGTAGTATTAAATTTTCCAATAGAGTAAATTTCAGTTTTGGTCCTATGGCTATTGGGGTATTGTTAATTGCAACCCACGACTTTTAAAATTATTCAATTTTTATCAATTTTGGTAACTCCGGCCAAATTGCCGGCCAAATCTCATCAAAAAAATTTAATTAGGCAATTAATATTTAGTCTAAGGGGCAATTTCATCTTTGTATGTCTGGTCAAAAAAGGTATTTGACTCCGGTCAATTTCTTCCTTCTCTCTAATTGGCGAATATGGCGTCAAATCTGTCGATGAGGGGAGAAATACAGTGAGGTTGAGAGTGCGATATAATGGAGAATGGAGATTAAAACCTTTACTAAAACCCTAATCATAAAAATAAAATATATTTTGATGCATTAAACATGTTGATGGTTATGTTTTATTTTATTGTATTTTTGTTAATGATTTTCTCAAGTACACTGACGGTCACTTAGTCTTGAGCAAGTATTCCCTCATTTCTAGCAATAGTAATATTAAAGTATTATTTTAATTACACTCTAAGTTCATTTGACAATATATGTTATTATATGACTCTAGATTTTAGTTTCATTTTTCATATACACTAGTTTCATTATAACAACACTAAAATATCATTTTAATTATAGTACAGCTTCATTTGACAATTACGTTGTTGAATGAACTCTGTTTTTTAGTTTCATTTTCCACTCACACTAGTTTCATTATAGCAACACTAAAGTATCATTTTAATTCTACTACAGTTTCATTTGACGATCATGGTTCACATAGCACTGTGAATCATGGTCCATGTAACACCCTCGATTTTCATGCCAATTTAAAGCTTAAATATGCAAGGCAAACTAACCAATAGATAGCATTAAGCATAACACAGCGGAAGTCTAAACATAAAACGGAGAAAATCAAGGAGTGCTATGCCATGTTCACCCCAACGTGAACGCACAGGCAAAAACTACAACCATCAATCTAACAAGTTCAACATCAGTGGCACACAGGCCAAAACGCAACTAAACTGTTCAAGGGATCTAAACTATCCATGTCTAACGCTCTTGCCATCTACTCAGGACCTGTAAAGCACATAAAGAAAGGGGACGACGCCCGGTCAGCGAATATTACTAGTAACCCATCAATACGCGTTCAATAGTATAAGTAAAGATAATATACTACAAAATCATTTTCGAAACGGAATACAGTATATATCAGTTCAAAGTCATAAAGAGATAAGTCAACTGTAAAGACTCTATTTCACTCTCAAAAGAACAGGGAATCACATCCCAAGACAACATCAAGACAAGAACGACAACAGAACAACTCAACACCGCTCAAGATGTAGTCTACTAATCACAAAGCAGAAAACATCACGGCAAGACAACAACAACAAGAAGTACAACTCGAGGTGTATTCTACTGATCACAAAGTAGAATACCACTCGACATGCTCAACAGATAAGGATAGACATCAACACATTGACACTTCATGCCACAGTGACACTTCATGTCACAAGAAACATAGTTCCAACCTTATGCCCTATTCCAACCTTATGCCTACCCCCGGCCTTATTACAGTTCCAACCTTTACCTCTGAGTGTCACCCTATACTTCCAAGTCCAACCTTTTTCCTCCAGGAATCGTCGTTCCCCCTCCAACAACCGCCAATCAAAACCGCCGAACGCACAGTACACGAGGGTACATTGCAAGATCATATCACAAAACCGCCAAACCTTGTGAGCTATACTCACGATAACAAACCACCAAACTCAATTCATGGCCACCACGAGAACCACATCTGTACCTTGGTGATTAATGTCTCATACCATTAATCGTGCAATCCAGGTACAGCCAACACACACATCATCATAGGAATCAATCAACGGATCACAACGAAGATATGAAACCATACTCAATCAAGGAAGGACTACAATCCAACATCAACGATGATCAACACAAGTTATCATCCACAATAGGAAAGAACAAACCACACACGCTAGCATTTCAACATCAAACTAGCATGCTTATCAAACGGGTAAACCAAACATAGTTCCGAAGAACGTACGAGACTCATCATGGTTCAACGAATCACAATGTTGAACACTTAGCACGATTAAAGACACCAAATCCTACATGGAATCACATACAGTTCTAGACCTACGAAACATCAAGAAGACGCTCAAATAGCCCAACAAAAGAACATCGGGAAGTCAAAACATAAATTACCGAGTCAAAAGAATAACGGGGAACAAATCCCCAAACACCACCATTAGTGTACCCCGCGGGTGGGGCCATGGGTGGACCTCCACCCGTGGTTCCGCCCGCGGGAACCACTCCCACAAACACACGTACCCCGCAGGTGG